CTGTGATACCTACCCACTCTGCCTATGCTTTTAAAATAACTGCTAATAACACCTTACAGAAATAATGGGAATCCTCAAAAGCAGTTCTTAAACTCATTACTAGATTTATGGCATTAAATGTCAGTTCCGGTAGCAGCAGAACAATTGTAAGAACAATAGTATGTGTGACCAATAAAAAACTTCAGACATCTGTGTTTAGCTGATGATCCGACATACACAGATCTGATATACATATATCAGATAATCTGACATAAACACTTCTTCTGGTACTTGCTAATTATCTATTAACAATTTTTAAATCTGACTGCCTTCATGGTGCAAATTCAAACAGCTGATGAGGAATGAACTTCTTTTCAAATATAAGCTTTTCCCTAATCTAGCTATAGGGTCTTTTCAATGGGTCAGACTTCCTGCAGAAAACTGGATTAATGCCAAAGGGATTCAAGTTTATTATCGCAGAATGTGTTTGCTGTCATGCATGTGTCTTTATTCATTCTAATTTAGAGAAATGATAGCTCATTTGAGACAGTCAATGCTAAATCTCAAGAGATGAGATTAAAAAATACTGATTGCCTTTCATTTAGACTTCCCAGAACATTAATTCTGTGGTCTATTAATGCGTGCAGAAATTAGGGGAAGATCCCTACTTGGAGTAAAAAACTATGGAGGCATTAGCAGTGTTCCCAAAGCATCACTTATGACACCAGAGCTATGCTTCCCAGGATAGACCTGGTCCCTGTCACACCAGGCTCCTGCACCAGCTACTTCAACATGAGAAGAAAAAAGAGGTGAAACTGGGAGAGACAAAGAGATGGGGCAGGAAGGAAGGCAGCCATAGTTCGCTGTGGGGAACCAGGCTCTTCTGCTCCTCACGTTCCTGGCTTCTTTGGCGTGGCAGGAGTGACAGTGGCCCAGCTAGCCCATCAGAGTGGGTCATGTCCCTGCCCTGTAGGGCCACCCACCAAGCAGGATGGGCATGGAGGTTTCCTGGCAGTGCTGTGGTAGGATACAGTGAGAAAGGAGGGTCAAGGAGGGGTGTTTGTAGGGACAAACTTGAGCGAAAGATATATCTCAGAAGCAAACAAGGAGGCTCTACCTAATGGCTGAACTTGGAGGGCACTGTCCTGAGACTAAGTCAGGCACAGTGGGACACTGATGTGCCTTTAGCTGTAGGAAGGACAAGTCCAAATTTATCAAAATGTAGAAGCCACGTTAAAGATACCAAGATGATCGATGCAGGGGGAAGAGAGAGACCATTTCTAGCAGCCCCATATAGACTGTCAGCTAAAGAAGAGGTAAAGAGAAGCCAATCAAATACCCATTCTGTGACTGCATTTCTCCTATCAAGTAACCCCAGGAAGTCACTACTTGCTGTACAACATGGCATTTGCACAGGAAAATAACGGGAGATGAGCTTTGTACTCCTAATCACCTACTGCAAAATGAGCTCCCAGCAGAGCCATTCATATACCCTGGCCCTCTCTGGCACTACAGAAACAGTATCCAGGACATATCTGATTTCTGTTGTCAGATATTGATCTTCTCTCTCTAAGCATGCGGTTCATCCCTTACACTGCATATGGGTTGTATATGTGTATGTATATTCATTTGTAGGCTCCACACACTGGTAGGCATTTTTATTCTGTTAATTAACTTTATGTTGCAGTATCACCACCATCTCCAGCCCATTAAACAATAATTTAAGAATATGGTGAAAAATCCAGCTGATTTCTGTATGTTAACTGACATTATGCTCAGTAGGTTAATTGATGTGTTATAGGGACGCTCAATGCAAAAACATGTGTTTACTGAGATTACAAACACCTCAACTAAATAAATGCCCTGTCAAGTTAATTGCTGTTACTACTCCACCTGCAAAAATGATGTGACCCTACTCTATTAAAATAATCTGGTAAATACTTTTCCCCCGATCACATGCAAGATCCAAATACTCTCAGGTCTGTTATAGAAACAAATAACACTTCTGGCTCTGCTGCTCAAGACCAAAATCGGTTTCAGTTTGTACACCCATTTGTGCTAGACCTCTCAGGGTAAACAACCACCATTGCAATGTGGGTAACACAGGTACACATCTTGCAGACCTCATGCACAAAAAGCCAAGGAGTAGAGAAATGAAGGCTGGAAGAGTGGACAAAAAGCTAGGAAAAGATCAGAAATGGTGTCTCTGGACTGGGCTTGGGACTAGGCTGGACAGTGTCTCAGAATTGGGAAGGAGCTCTAAAGGCGATCAACAGGACAAGGAGGGGTCTTGATGCATTAACCACTAGCTACCAAAAATCCCCCCCAGTATGCTTCCCTTCCTAGATCACGTGCTCGGGGAGCATTTCAGCACTCACTGGCATGTGGCAGGAGTCTGTGGGCAGGGCCTGTGGATTGGGGAGCATCAGTATATCTTTGCTCACATCTTCTGCCCTGCAATGGAAAATGGGTTCTTATTCATCTTCTTATTTCCACTTGTGAGTTTATAGACCTCTATTATCCCCTTCCAATGGGAAAACTGACCATTATTTCACTTGGGTTTTTCTTCTAACCAGTTATTTGTTCATATGAGGACATTCCTCCTTATCAGCTGAATTTCTGTAAGAGTCTTTGGGATGAACACTGGCAGACATATTTGTTTCAGCCACAACTCCTCTGTCCACACGATTTTTGAGTTCTTGAAAGGGCGCTGCCAGATCTGTGAGGCATGACTTCTCCTTGCAAAAGCTGGGCTATTCCCCATATTTATCAATGGTATTTTTATCTGTGTTTCAGCTTTTACCAGTTTGCCTGGCATGGACTTCAGAGGGGACTGCAGCTCCTGTGTTTGGAGACAGGATAGAGACTTGGGTCCTGACTTGGTACAGTTGCTCACATGTTCTTATTAGCTATTCTGAGTTATCTTGAAGTAAATGATATTTCTCATTAAACTTCAACCATATTTTGAGACAGTTTCAGAATTAAAACATGTAATCTGTACATAAAAAGGTTCATTAAGGACCTAAGGTGACTGGAAAAGTCATGAAAATACGAGTATCATCTGAGTCCTGAGTCTGTCCTGTTCTTCCACAGAGACATTTGCTATGAAGACTTTTATGTCAAATGCAAAAGCTGCATATTTGTATTCAAGGAGTGATAAAGGTTTGCATGTTATACATATCTGTAGGAACATAAAACCAACACATTCTGATAACTTGGGTTATAGCTGAGGTCTGGGAGCACAGCATGAGAAAAGAAATGGGAATAGATCTCAATGAGGCAGTACCCGGAGCAGTTTAAAACAGGTAAAATAGATCTACAGCAATATATCTGACTAGTTATCCTCTGCATTACACCCATGGAAGTTAACTGCAAGTTACTTACCCTCTAGGGTCCTTTCATATTGCTAAAGTGATGGGAAAAGGCCTCTGTGTTCCTGCAAACCAGGCTATAAGTGAACAGCAATGGAGAGACCTCCATCAAACTGGAATAAGTTTCAGTTCATTCAGTCTAAAGGGAGAGCGTAGAGTTTAATTAACCTAATAGCTGTCAAGAGCTCAGAGAGCTGCAAGCTAATGGTGCTGGCTGCATAACTGCAGAGCACAGTACTGCACAGTACAAGGAAGCCCTGCCCCACTGAAGACTGGCATAGAGCAAAAAGACCTGTGCAAGAAATTCCCCTACCCTCCTGGTGACATGCTAGTGCCAAGGGAACTCTTCAGCGGGTCCACAAAAAACACCAAAGCCCAGAATAGGCATCAGCCCAAGCTGTCCAGCGTGTGATGGGCACCCGCCACTCCAGAGGGCTCCTTGCACAGAGCTGCATGTTGGAGTCTGGGGAAATGCAGAGGGCTCTGGATCATCTGGGCATCTCTCATCCTGGGAGCATCCTGGGAGCTCTAGCTATGGAATAGTTGCAGCAAAGCACTAATTCCTGCCATGCAACAGTCGGTACCTCCAAAGCCCCGAGCCTCTGGCAGCATAAAAACAGCAACACGGAAATACCACTGCAGGGAAGGTAGCCTTTTTAACACAATTAACACATGCCATACAAACAAGTGAAAGTAAAAATGCCATCATTGACAGAGAAGTCCTGCAAAGATAGAAGATGCCAAAAATGAAGTAGTAACTACAGACATAGGTCTGTCTGTGCACTATGATCTTGTATTTGACTTTGCAGGTGTTGGGGGGGGTTATGCGCGAAATATGAATGTCTAAAAACACATTGGTTCCCATGTGCTCCTTCTGTGCATGACCAAACACTTGCCTTTTGACTTTTGTCAGGCCTGGAATGCCTTATGCCTTGGTTGATGCCAGCTGGGTCGAGCATTGTCCAGTCCCCCTTCTGCTTCTTTGCTCGGCACACTTCACTTGTAGGTTTCCCCTGGTATCACAGCCCAAGAAATCTCTCCCGATGGCTTCCTTGCTGCAGGAAAATTTCCTGAAGGAAAAGTTTTCTAACCTGCCCACTTCACACTGCTGCCACATCCCATGCATGCCTGGTCGGTTAATAGAGATCCCAGGCCCTAAGTTACCCTCTCCTGGGTAAGGAAGGATTTGTGTTCTCCTTTTACAAGCTTACACAGATGAAGCTGCTAAAAACACAGCCCTTTTTAAGCACAAGGTTCTGCTCACAAGCCCTAATCCAAGACACTACAAGGATATTTCCCTCTTGGGCACCTGCCAAGCATCATCACACTGCACAGGGCGGGCAAAGCCAGCGCTTCTGGATGCTTGCCCAAAGTAGATGTCTTGATATGAGACTGGAAAACGTTTAGCAATTGTGTTGATGTGCCCAGGGCCCTAGCGCCTTGCACCTTGTCCCTAGGCACCTGCAGGAGCAAGCCAAGAGCAGGCGTTGCTCTCCAGCCAGCTGAGGGAGTTTCCACCACACCGGGGGCTGGCACCTGAGTCCACCAGTGCAAGATGGGATATATAGAATAACTCCAGGGCGAGTGCAGTGGCCAGCGCCAAGGGGGATTGTGACACGGCGGTGGGCCACGGTGGACAGCGGCGCCACCATGGAGCAGCAGGAGCAGCCCACAGCCCCCACAGCCCCCATCCCTGAAGGCGACTGCCAGGCTGTGGTACGGCACACCCAGGTGCTGCTGCTGGCCGGTGAGACGTGGATGCCACAGTGTGCCTGCGCTGCCCGCACCACCGTCGCCCACGAGGCTCTGTCCTTCGCTGCTGGTGGCCCCCTGGCTGCCCAGCTCATCTTCTTCCTCTGCCGGCCCGCAGCGCTGGAGGCAGAGGCCGGGCGGCTGAGGGCAGCGCTTGGGGCCTTGCGGGAGCAGCTCTGCGGTGCCCCTGGTGCCCTGGTTGGTGTCGTGGTAGAGCCACAGCCCACAGAGGAGGTGACGGCACGGCAGGCGCTGGAAGCCTTGCTCTGCGATGTCTTTCGCAGTGCTGATCCCAGTGGCCAGACCCCGCTGGAGCTGCACACGGCTGTCTTCTGCCCTGGTCGCCCCGACAGCACCCTCCAGGTGCAGAGAGCCGCCTGCAGTGGCCCGAGGGAGGACCTGCTGGTGACGACGGTGCCAGGCATGTCTGGGTCAGGCGGGTGGGTGGCGGGACTCCTGGGGTCCAGTGGGGTGCCCCATCTGTGTGCTGGGTGCTGCATCCCGTGGGTGGCTGAGGGCTTCACCTGCCTCTTCGTAGAGGGCACTGGAGCCACCTCCTCCATCCTTCCTCACCCGCACACCCAGCTGGGGGAGGCATCCCTGCCTGTTCTCCCCAGTGTCTGCTGGGCCCAGCCCCGGGGCCTTGCTGGGCCTCACACCAGTCCCCAGCAGACCACATTGTTTCATGCCCCCAAGCAAAGCTGCTTTCTCACCGTAGGCACCCAGGGTGTCTACACTCAGTGCAAGACTCCTTTTTCTTCGCCCTCAGACTTTATGGTCATGGTTTACCTTGGGATGGTCTCATTGTTGGGCTTTTCCAATACGTTGACCAGCGCTTGTGTGTGGGCCTAGGCAGGAAATAAATCCTGCTGTTAGTTCTACTCATGTTATATCCTTGGTTAAATGGATTTAAGCACTAGAACAGGGTATGTTTGGCCCTAGTGGAATTTAGTTTCCTCTGGGCTGAATCACTGAGCTGCTTCCTGCCTGGTGGTTGGAGGCCTTTAAGTTTGCATGTCTGTATGTGCACAGGGGCATGTGCACAAGGCTTGCCCACTGCAGCTCTGTGTACTACAGCGGACACACTGAACGTGTGTGCTTGCGTGTACGTGGATTCACGGTGCCACAAAGGCAGGGAGGGCCCCGAGCGAGAGGGAGCAGAGCCCAGTAGTGTGACCTAGGAAAATGGAAGTTCAATGTGATCCTTTGGGATGAGGGGGGCAGAAGGCAGGAGAGTCCATGCAAAGGAAACGTGGATGAGCATGGGTGTCAGAGCACCACCCCATGCTCCAGGAATCTGCACAGAAAAGCCTAAAAGATTTTGAGATCTAAGCTAAGGCGTAAGAGATCTTGAAGGAAGCGAAGTACAGCCACAAAGCCCCTGCTGCCTTGATGGGTGCTGTCACGAAGCCCAGAAAGGAGGACAAGGCAGAGGCCTGGAAGCTGATGGAGAGCCTGCTTCAGGGTATCTTCCCTCAGGAGCCCTGCTAGAGGAGCAAACAGAACAGCAAGCAGGCCCTGCCAGAGCAGGAGGATACAAAGATGGTGGAACTACAGATGGAGATCTTTGTTCCAGCCGCAAGTTAAACTGGCCATTATGAAAGCTACCTGCCAGGCATCAGAAGCGGTAAAGCAGGAACCTCCAGGTGTGGGGAAGGATAAGGGGTGCAGTGCTGTATGGGATCACGGAAGGGTAAACGGAAGAAGAGAAGGCAGCTCGGGCCTGAGAAGGCCGTTCAAAACCATTCTATCGCTGTGTCTTTTGTATACCCTGAAGACAGAAGGTGTTGCAGATATTAAAAATAAAGGGCACTTTCCCTTCTTATCTCATTGCCAGGCCCCTTTAAACATAAGAATAGCTGAACTAAGTCAGAACAAGGATATGTCAAACCTAGTATCCTTTCTCTGACAGCTGTCATGAGTGGGTCACTAGAGCAGAGCAAGAATAGGACAATGTTATGTGATAATTATCATGAGAACATTTTAGCCTCCAAATATCTTCAGCTGAGAGGATTCTCTGGGCTGGATATGATTTCGGTACTCCCTTGCTAGATGTTAAACTGGTGGGAATGATTTCTTGGCTATCATAGGCTTTCCTTTGTTCTGGGAAGCACACAGCCTCATTTATAGGAGCTTATAAATAGCAATGCATCTCCCAAGGCCCTGCTCTTCTGACCCACTTTGAGAGCTGCCTTGGAGAAACCGGATTCAAGTGATGGGATCCTACTTCCTTGAAGTGGCCACCTGGATCCCATTAGTCCTATGCAAGAATGGGGGGGAATGGCAAAGATCTTTCTGGTCTTTAAGGCTCTGTTGGACTAATGCTGCACAGTGCCTGTTGTATCACTTCAGCGTGAGGAGCAGCACTGTACTGAACGCTTCTGGGCTGAGAATGCAAGGAGGAAGGTACAGAGGCTGAGTCTGCTGTTATCCCTGAAACCTGGAAACTGTAGGATGCAGACTTGTAGTGTCCACTCAGCTCACACTCCGTTAGTTATTGCAGGGCCTTCCCTGAACATGAGGCTGCTGGCATCCTGGCTGCGTACCCAATAGGTTTTTCTTAAACTACAGCTCTTGTTAGAAACAGCAGTGGAATTACTGCAGTTGTGAACAGACAGGAGACTCTTCATTCTCCCTGCTGCAATAATGGGAGTGAGTCTTTTGTTCTAAGTGCATGGGTGTATGGGAGTCAGCAGAGCATGCAAGGCCTCAGACGTCCAAGGAGGCTGGAGCTGTGTGCGCTTCGGGGAGGAGTCAGAGATCCCAGCCATCACCCCAGATAGCCATTCAAGTTTTGTGTACTTGGAAAGTGCTTGGACTAGGTATGTGAAACATCATCTCCAAGGACTTCAGATGGAAATGTCTTGATTACTAAGGAACTTGGAAATTACTGTGGGGAGATTTTCAAACAAATTAGTGTTCAGTTTTGGTAGATAACTAAAATACGGAAAACAGCAAGCTCTGTTCATGCACTGGCTTCAGGGATGTGAAGGGCTCCAGGAAGGTCACTATGCAGAGTGCAAGGAAAATACAGAAGAGCTGTTAGTGTGGTTTCATATGGGGCTAAAATACAATTTCAAAGCTTCTGAGAGTGCATGAGGAGCTAAAACACTTGCTAAGCGTACCCTATGCAGTACACAAAAGGAAATGGTGTGCCTTCATTTCAGCTGAGCAAGTGGGGAACTGGCAGTGTAGGAATCAGAATTGTCTATGACTGATAGTAACCAGGAAGACTCTCTGAATGCAGTAAGATAGTGGGGTGCACTCTTGCACCTAGAGGATTGCAAAAGATCACGTCACAGGCTCTTAGAGACATGGTGTAGTCTACCAACACAAAGGGTTTTGTAGCTTCTTTGAGGGGGTATCTGTTCCTTGAACCTCTGGATAGATGCCCTATACCACTTCAGGCATATTCTACAGATGAATACAAGGTGGCGTTGACCTTGAAAATGAGGGATCATTTAGCTTGATGGCCTTATGGCCACTGCAAGTTCTCCCAGAAAGGAAACAGAGTGCAGAATAAATTTTACCAGCAGAGAGTGCTTTGGCACTCTGTAGGGGGGTTAGTTAAGGCCCCAGGCTGTGCTAGGGCACAACAGCAATATCTACAGAGGGGAATGTCTGAATGCTTGGAGAAGATACCTGTGTTTATCAAATATTTTCTGCCAGTGAGAATATGAAGTGTTGGAGACAACCATGAGAACTTGGCTAGGAGAAATGGCAAAGTGTGGGAAGGAAATATCCCTATGCATACTAACTGCTTTTTACAATGACTATAGAGTTAACCTGCTGAAAAACTGGCCAAGATGGAAACCAATTTGTGATTAGAGCTAGGCTCTGCAGACTGAGGGAAACAGTTACCAGCCCTCTTACCTCCAGATGATGTGCAGGGCCACTACCAAATTAAACAGGAAAAAATAGAACCACACTCATCCTAGAATGACAGGTATGTGCAAACAGGCCTTCCTAAACCTATCCAGTCCCACTACTTACCAGCTGCTTGCTGCTAAAATTGAGATCGCATTTTGAGCTCTTGTCCAGCATGTTAGATAAATTGAAGAGATAAGAAGACTGACATTTAAATTCAGTGTTAATTGCACCCCTCTGGCAACTTGGATGTACTGGCAAGTAGAGATGCTCTGCACATGCCTGGTCTATGACTTTCACTGTTGCTGAGAGATCAGCCCCCTTTACAGGAGAAGAGAGAGCATCTGCTCACAGCTGAGTGATGTATTTGCCCTGTGTGAGTCTGCTCATTCTAGCTGAGGAAAGAACTTGTCTTTCTAGACACCTGCTTCGAAATGAAGTGAATTCACATGAATATCATGCAGGGGAATGCCTCTAATAGCCTGAAACACATGCATATGAACTCTCTCTGGATCATTTAGGAGACCGCTAAATGGAAAAGAATGGGCTCTCATTAGCCCTTGTAATTTACTTATTTTTTTCCCTGTGCTCAGCCTCAGCCTTTTAAAGCTATGGGTGTTGTAAGGAAGCAAGTGCTTGGTTTCCAGGGAGATCCCTGAAGGCCTCTCAGGCTTCCCTCCAGATCATCTCAGAGGCATGATGCCACTTTGCACACTACATGGAACTGTCCTCAAGTAGGTCACTTCAAATAGCGTCCCCCTCTTCTGCAGCCCAGGGGTGAGTCATTGAGAGAAGATACAGCACACATCACACCCAATGAAAACACTGCAACTAAGGAAGTAGTAGCCACAGGAAGGAAGCTAGCTGACTACAGGATGAAGCTGAGGTGTTACGCCTTACTGAAGGCTGCACTCACTTGCAGCATTCAGCAGGTGACTGAAGCAAGAGCAACTGCACAGATACTCAGAGATGGTGTTGAATTATTTTGGCTGAATTATACCAGGGAGCTGCTTGGTGTTCAACAGCGTAATCTCTGGATTTAAACAGTCACTTAGGGAAGAATTTTCACATTCTCTGACCATACCTAAATGCTGCAACATTTGGCAAACTTCCAGCTCCATTGTTTTAGTTTCCTCTAGTAAGACTGGTTCCCTCTTCCTCTACTAACACGTCTTTGCACCGATTGCCATATGAGCTCATCATTCTTAGTACCTGACAATAAGAATGGGACTCCACAGAAAAGCGGAGTCAGTACCACATACAGTGGTGCAAATGCTATCTTACGGAAGTACCTCATCCACAACGACTTAAGCTCATATCATTTCATCCTCTTAGGCAAACTCAGGAAGTGTGGGTTGGATGAGTGGACAGTGAGGTGGATTGAGAACTGGCTGGATGGCAGAGCCTGTAGCTAGTGGTGTCCCCCAGGGGTCAAGTACTGGGTCCAGTCTTGTTCAACTTATTCATCAGTGACCTGGATGAGGACCCAGAGCGCACTCTCAGCAAGTTTGCTGCTGAGACTAAAGTGGGAGGAGTGGCTGACACACCAGAAGACTGTGCTGCCATTCAGAGG